TGCAGACGCATCAAGGTTGAGGAGGTCGTGGGAGCTATGAGTAAGATGAGTAGGGGCAGAGCGACCGGGCCTGACGAGATTCCGGTAGAATTTTGGAAGTGTGTGGGGAAAGCATGTTTGGAGTGGTTGACTAGGTTATTGAATGTTATTTTTAAGGCGAAAAGGATGCCGAATGAGTGGAGGTGGAGTACGGTGGTCCCATTGTACAAGAACAAGGGTGATATCCAGAGTTGTAACAAATATAGGGGTATCAAATTACTGAGTCATACCATGAAAGTGTGGGAGAGGGTGGTTGAAGCGAGGTTGAGGATGACGGTGTCCGTTTCCGACAACCAGTTTGGGTTCATGTCGGGTCGTTCTACTACAGAAGCTATACACCTTGTTAGGAGGTTGGTTGAACAGTATAGAGATAGGAAGAGAAACCTGCACATGGTGTTTATTGACCTAGAGAAAGCAATGACAAGTTTCCTAGAGAAGCTCTCTGGAGAAGCTTGGAGGCAAAAGGCGTGTCGGTTCCCTATATTATGGCGATTAAGGATATGTATGATGGGGCAAAGACTCGGGTTAGGACGGTAGGAGGCGACTCTGAGGATTTTTCAGTTGCTATGGGGTTACACCAAGGTTCTGCGCTCAGTCCGTTCTTATTCGCCCTGGTGATAGACGCGTTAATCACCACATTCAAGGGGATGTGCCATGGTGCATGCTATTCACCAACGACATAGTTCTGATTGATGAGTCGCAAGCCGGTGTTAACGAGAGGCTGGAGGTTTGGAGACAGGCTCTTGAATCTAAGGGTTTCAAGCTTAGCAGGACGAAGACGAAATACTTGGAGTGTAAGTTTAGCGCTGAGCAAGGGGAAGTGGGTGTGGATGTGAGGCTTGAATCACAGGTCATTCCGAGTAGAGGCAGCTTCAAGTATCTTGGGTCGGTTATCCAGGGGGGAGGGGAGATTGACGAGGATGTCACACACCGCATTGGGGTAGGATGGATAAAATGGAGGTTAGCTTCTGGAGTACTGTGTGACAAGAGAGTGCCACTGATACTCAAAGGTAAGTTCTATAAAGCGGTGGTTAGACCGGCCATGATGTATGGGGCTGAGTGTTGGCCTGTTAAGAAGTCACATATCTATAAAGCGGTGGTTAGACCGGCCATGTTAGGAATGATGATATTCGGGAGAAGGTATGCGTGGCCCCCATTGATGACAAGATGCGGGAAGCGCGGCTCAGATGGTTCGGGCATGTTAAGAGGAGAAGCCCAGATGCTCCGGTAAGGAGGTGCGAACGGCTGGTTGTGGAGGGAACGAGAAGAGGTAGAGGGCGGCCTAAGAAGTATTGGGGGAGGTGATCAGGCAGGATATGGCGAGCCTTCAGATTTTCGAGGACATGGAACTTGATAGGAACATGTGGAGGTCGAGTATTAGGGTTGTAGGTTAGGAGGTAGTTGGGTCTTGCCTTATGTCATAACTGTGTGGGATTAGTTTGGTAGGGATACTATCTCGCTTTTGCTGTGTATCTTTCTTCTGGATTTCATGTTCCTATTTTTCCTATTTTCCTATTTCTCTTATTATTTTTGTGGTGTTACTGATTTTGTCTCCTTTTGTCTTTTTGTCCTCTTGAGCTGAGAGTCTTTCGGAAACAACCTCTCTACTCCTTCGGGTTAAGGGTAAGGTCTGTGTACACACTACCCTCCCCAGACCCCACTAGTGGGATTTCACTGAATCGTTGTTATCGTTGTTGTTGTTGGTTTTTCAAGCATGCTGGGTCCCTTTTTTTGGAATTTGTTGTTGTTATTACTGTCTTTTCTCTGTTGTGTTCATTTGTGGTAGCAATCAAAGGTTATCCTTGCTAATCAACTTAGAAATTCTGCACTTATGTATTTTTCTTAACCTTGTAGTGTAAAATTTGATCATATAATAAGCCATGCCAATGACATCTTGGCATCCATTTTGATGTAATACACTGTGTTTGACATGATTTTTCTTTTTGGTTAATGGATATATGAGTAATCTATGTTTTATGTACTGATATTCAAATTGTATTAGTATGTTATTAAGTTTCTTGATTTTTTATTGCTTTACCTAAAACTTATCTTCCTATCCATTGTCAGTAGGTCCTAACAAAGAAGAAAACAATTATATTATCCTCAAATATAGAGTAACAATACAAACTTAATATATGCATGAGTTGTCAAATATAGTAATGGTATATGATTAGACAAATTTGTTAAGTTCACAGGCATGGATCACAAGTGCACATTTGGATAAAATTGAATGTTAAATGTGCCTAGTCAAAAATCAAAGACTAGAAAAATATATATGTCAATATTTGACGAACTAAAAGCACACATTTCCTATCTGAAATAATATGTACCTAAGTTAATTAGGAACGCCAACTAAGAGCTTCTAGCATTCTTTTCGTCTATATATATAATTATATATTCTGCTAAATTAACAGTCTTCCCAATTAATCTTCTAAACTCTTAATTCTTCCTAATCTCTTATCTAGCTCATTCGTTATAGAAAACATATGAGGAAATGGGACGTATGAAAATGTATAAATAATCGAAAGAGTAGCCGAAAAATATAAAATAAACTAAAAAAATTATTTCTTTAATTTTCCGACTATAGTAGCCGGAAAATTGCAACTGAAATCTGTAGTCGAAAAAATAGGGAATTTATAGTAGTGAGGTGAAACTCTTTCAATAATCTTTATTAATTAATTGCAATATATATTTAAAGATTAGATCGATGGTTGATAATAGAGAAATGGCAAAATACCATACCATCCCCCTAAACTTGACACGGACTATTAGTTAGAGTCTTAAACTATTCGTGGTCTTAATTACCCTCCTCAACTTGGCCTTTTGAGAGCCAGTACCTCCCTGACGCTGATGTGGCAAAAAATGTGGGTGCACTCGCCTGCCACGTGGATTTTTCTGCATATGTGGCATTTTTTTTTTGAAAAATAAAATATATTTTTACCTTTATAAGTATGTTACTTTTTTAGATAATTTTTTTCGAATACAATTTATAATAAAACTTGGATAGAACTACATTATTTATGCTAATTTCTTTTATTTGGCTAAAAATAATAAAGTTTTAGTTAATCTTTTTTCGAATTTGACATGATAATAAAGATTTATACAATTGAAATAAATAGTCAAGGCATCTAAAAGGTTATAAAAATACATAGTTTGAAATTAATTATTTTGGCTATAATTTTTTATATAGCTCTAAATTATGGTGCTCTAAACATATACTTTTTACAGATTTTACCTGAAAAAGTAAAAATACAATTGAAATAAATAGTTATTGCATCAAAAGAAGAAATAAAAAGAGTGTATCCATAGAGTAAGTTATTTCTTGCAATTGTACACTCCTTTTATTTCTTCGTTTGATGCAATGACTATTTATTTTAACTGTGCATTTTTACTTTTTTCAGGTAAAATCTGTAAAAAATATATATATATATATATATATATATATATTTTTAGAGCACCATAATTTAGAGCTATATAAAAAATTATAGCCAAAATAATTAATTTCAGATTATTTATTTTTATAACTTTTTAGATGCTTTGATTATTTATTTCAATTGTATAAATCTTTATTTTCACGTCAATTTTTCAAAAAAAAAATTAACTAAAACTTCATTATTTTTAGCCAAATAAAAAAATATAGCATAAATAATGTAGTTCTATCCAAGTTTTATTATAAATTGTATTCGAAAAAAACTATCTAAAAAGGTAACATACTTATAAAGGTAAAAACATATTTTATTTTTTAAAAAAAGTCACATATGCAGAAAAATCCACGTGGCAGGCGAGTGCACCCACACATTTTGCCACATCAGCGTCCAGGAGGGTACCGGCTCTCAAAAGACCAAGTTGAGGGGGGTAATTAATACCACGAATAGTTTAAGGCTGTAACTAATAATCCGTGTCAAGTTTAGGGGGGTGGTAAGGTATTTTTGTCACGACGGGGATTTCCCACCCTCGGGAGTCGTGATGACGCCTACTAATGTGAGCTAGGCAAGCCAATTACTTAACAGATTACCTTTATCCATTTTTATACCTTTTTAGCATTTATAAAGCAGTAATGTGAAAACAACAGAAATTTCAATAAGCGGAAGAAATGTAGTGAAATATCTGAAATATGAATCTAATACAACTGTTTAAGCCTTAATGTTACACCCCATGTTTTCGTACGTAAGAGTACGTCATAAGTCAATTAATGTAAGCTCAGAAATGGAATCATCTTTGAAAAGTTTACAAAGTTAGTTCATCATGTTAACATGGAGGTTACAAATATTTAAGATCATTAATACCAAGTAGCAAGAGGGTTTGAAGGCTTAGAAGCTAAACGAATTGAAGAAAATAAGTTTCGTCGAAAGTCGACAAGTTGGAATGTTTTACAATGTACTTTTGGGGTGAGACTAGGGTTATTAACATTATAAGGAGATTATATTATGTGTTATTTTAGTCGTATGATAGTTGGTGTTATGTTTTGAAGTCAAGCGAGTTATGGAACAAAAGTTGGAAAAGGTCATCACAAGTTCCATTTATAAATGTGCTAAACATTAGGTCAAATGTAGTGGAGCTTTTCTCCCAATATACTTGGAATTACAAGATGATCCACATATCAAATTGAAAATCTACGAGTCTAATTTCTAACTCATTAAACGGTTTGTCGATACGATATCGGGGTAGAGAGATATTTGCAGTTTTGCAAGATTGCACAGACTGCATAGTTGGCAAGTAGGTGTGTCACTAAAGCTTTTTGAGCAATACATTTCGTGTGCTATATGAGGCCTTTTTGGGACATATTATATATCAAATTGAAGGTCTTGGAATCTAGTTTCCAACACTCTTAACCGTTCGTTCATACGATATCCGGATAAAAAGATATAGGTATTTGAAAAAGGGCCAATGAGATGGTGCCAAGTAGCACCTTTTGACTTTTCAACCAAAATGAATATTTATCTTCCTATGTCGTCTCTTTCTTCATAATTCCAGAGAGCTCGACCAAATAAGACCCCTAACCTCACCCTTAAGCTGTCCACAAGGTTATCCAACAAGATTATCGTCCGAGGCACAAAATCACGAAGCAATAACACTAGAACGATCCCCACGACGTAAGTATCGCTATATTATCTCTCTTTTTCTTTGTAGTTGGAGTTTTGGAAGGTATTTAATAGTTAAGAAAATGCCTTATTTCTGTATTTAAGCTTTTAAATATGAAGGAATGTTGATAAATTTATTTCCTAATAGCTAGAACTCACGGGACGGTGATTGGAAGCCGTGAGTTCGAATTATTCGACTTGTTGTGGGCTGTTTTTGGGTTGTTTCGTGTTGCTTTTGGGTTGTATATTTTGCTTCTATTTAATAGAATTTTTGGAGGAGAGATGGTGTGGAGAAACACCAAATAATGGAGAAATGGTGGATTAGTCATTCTTTGTAATATTTTCGGCGTGTTTGACACTACTATAGTTGTCGTTTTGGGTATGGAGTGATTGGGGTGTATTGGGCTGTTGTAAGCTAATTGTAACATGGATTTCGACTTGAATCCACAGTAGGAGGTAATTATATTGTGTTATTGATTCTTCTTAAGATTATCTTGACATTGATTAAGTTAAACGGATGGACTAGACATGAACTAGTGAATAAAGTTTCTAATTGAGGATAATTGGAGTTGTGGATTGTTTTCCTTGTTATAAATATATGGTATAAGGCTTGAATCATTGATGAATGAATTTATTATCATGTTAATGTTACTATTAAGTAGTAAGAAGCCTATAAGGGGTATATGAGGTACATGGATTCCAATTGGAGCTTGCCGCTCGTCGTGAAGTAGTTGTGACTTGTTGTTATTTTATGGTGTCTTGTTATTGATAACTATGTATTGCTGGATTTCTCTGGTCATTGTTGTTGTTATATGGTACTGGAGGAGGCTCTTGTTACAGGGGAGATGCTGCCCAAATTTACATAAACGAGCTACTAGCTTAAGTTGCGGACATAGCCTTTACTCAACACTAATTTTGAATCTCCTTATGCTATGATAGATTGGGTTGAGTTATTCGAAGAATTACTTGGAAGGTATTAAGGACTCAATGGAGTTAAGGTATGTTAAGGCAATCCCTTCTTTCTTTTGGCATGATCTAAAGTGAAACGAATACGCTAATCATAACGGATCTACTCCTAGCAACTAAGGTTGTCCATGTTGTTCTTTCCTTATAAAATTATTCTAACCAAGTGTGTATGATCCTTGAATCCTACTAAGGTTCATATTGAGGGTATGGATGTCCATAATGTTCTTAAGTTACTCCGAAAGGTTTAGAACGTGAGTCCATGAGTCGAGCATGCATTATATATGTATCTATTTTACTCTACCGAGCCGCGCTATAGACGGCCGGGTATGGCACCTATTGTGCAACCACTGATCAGTTGGGTTTACCGAGCTCCACGTGGCCGGGTACGATTCTACCGAGCCTTATGATGGCCGGGTATGTTTTTACCGAGTCCTCTTTGAGGCCGGGTACGATATGATGATGATGATGCCCACAGAGGCGTATGTTTTCAAAAGTTTATGTATATATATGTATTATGCATTTCATGTCAGTAGCCCCCAGAGGCACTCAGATGTTACAGGTTGTATCTTCTCTATCACTCTTTACATTACTGTTCTTGTTTATGCTTTCCTGCCTTACATACTCTGTACTTTATTCGTACTGACGTCCCTTTTGCCTGGGGACGCTGCGTTTTATGCTCGCAGGTCCCGATTGATAGGTTCATAGTCCTCTTATTAGTCTATCAGCTCAGCGAAGGTGTTGGCGCACTCCACTTGCTCCGGAGTTGCCTATTTGGTCAGTATGCTTTGGATATGTATTGATTGGTATAGCGGGGCCCTGTCCTGACCTTTATGATTTTATGTACTCTTAGAGGCTTGTAGACATGTGTCAGGTGTATGGATATTTGTATGGCCTTGTCGGCCTATGTTTTGAGTTTACAAATGGTCATGTCGGCCTTATAGGCCCGTATGTCTTATGTATAAGTTTGTATATCATGTTGGGTCATCATATGTTGAGTATTCCCTTATGTTTTATTCTTGTTATCTCATGACGGGTNGGATTGTTGTGGGCTGTATTTGGATGAAATTCCAAGTTGTTGCTGCTGTCTAAGATGAGTATAACAGCCTAATAATTGTGATTAAGCTTGCTTGTATGTTGGTTAAGTTGTTAGGATGATAAACTACAAGATAGTACTTGGATTAGCTTAAGTCACTTCTATGGTGTTGTATTGCTATTGAGGGTTGTTGTGAGCTGAATATAACTTGGATTTCGACTTGAAGTTACTATAGGAGTTGTGTGTATTGTCTTCTTGCATGTGCTTAAGGTTATCTTGATGTTGATTAAGTTAAATGGATGGAGTAGACATGAACTAGTGAATAAAGCTACTAATTGAAGATAGTTGGAGTTGAGGATTGTTTCCTTTGTTATAAATATATGGTATAAGGATGGAATCATTGATGAATGACTTCATTATCATGTTAATGATACTTTTAAATTAATGTAAGAAGTCTATAAGGGGTGATATGGGTTATACGGATTCCAATCGGAGCTTGCCGCTTGTCGTGAAGTAGTTGTGACTTGTTGTTGTTATATGGTGTCTTGTTATTGATATTTATAGGTTGCTGGACATCCCTGGCTGTTGTTGTTGGTATATGGTATTGGAGGAGGCCCTTGTTACAAGGGAGATGCTGCCCGAATTTACATAAACGAGCTACTAGCTTAAGTTGCGGACATAGCCTTTACTCAACACTAATTTTGAATCTCCTTATGCTATGATAGATTGGGTTGAGTTATTCGAAGAATTACTTGGAAGGTATTAAGGACTCAATGGAGTTAAGGTATGTTAAGGCAATCCCTTCTTTCTTTTGGCATGATCTAAAGTGAAACGAATACGCTAATCATAACGGATCTACTCCTAGCAACTAAGGTTGTCCATGTTGTTCTTTCCTTATAAAATTATTCTAACCAAGTGTGTATGATCCTTGAATCCTACTAAGGTTCATATTGAGGGTATGGATGTCCATAATGTTCTTAAGTTACTCCGAAAGGTTTAGAACGTGAGTCCATGAGTCGAGCATGCATTATATATGTATCTATTTTACTCTACCGAGCCGCGCTATAGACGGCCGGGTATGGCACCTATTGTGCAACCACTGATCAGTTGGGTTTACCGAGCTCCATGTGGCCGGGTACGATTCTACCGAGCCTTATGATGGCCGGGTATGTTTTTACCGAGTCCTCTTTGAGGCCGGGTACGATATGATGATGATGATGCCCACAGAGGCGTATGTTTTCAAAAGTTTATGTATATATATGTATTATGCATTTCATGTCAGTAGCCCCCAGAGGCACTCAGATGTTACAGGTTGTATCTTCTCTATCACTCTTTACATTACTGTTCTTGTTTATGTTTTCCTGCCTTACATACTCGGTACTTTATTCGTACTGACGTCCCTTTTGCCTGGGGACGCTGCGTTTCATGCTCGCAGGTCCCGATTGATAGGTTCACAGTCCTCTTGTTAGTCTATCAGCTCAGCGAAGGTGTTGGCGCACTCCACTTGCTCCGGAGTTACCTATTTGGTCTTATGCTTTGGATATGTATTGATTGGTATAGCGGGGCCCTGTCCTGACCTTTATGATTTTATGTACTCTTAGAGGCTTGTAGACAGATGTCAGGTGTATGGATACTTGTATGGCCTTGTCGGCCTATGTTTTGAGTTTACAAATGGTCATGTCGGCCTTATAGGCCCGTATGTCATATGTATAAGTTTGTATATCATGTTGGGTCATCATATGTTGAGTATTCCCTTATGTTTTATTCTTGTTATCTCATGACGGGTTTTCTGGCTCATTTACTCATGATAGTATGATAAGAAAGATATGTTACGTTGGTACTCGGTTGAGTAAGGCACCGGGTGCCCATCGCGGCCCTTCGGTTTGGGTCGTGACACTTAATCACCCAGAACTGGTGTCCCAATACCGCAGAAGATCTAAGAGTGCTAAATACAAAGTCTGAAAATAAAAGATACACTGTTTCTGAATCAAAGAAATAAAACGGGAAGTAAAGGATAGAGGAGATGCCGCGGCCTGCGGACGTCTGCAGGTCTACCTTGGATCTTCGCGTGGACTGAAGGTAGCCACCCAATCTACGGTCCAAAGGCTGCTCCAAATCTGCACATAGTGCTGAGTGTAGTATCAGCACAACCGACCCCATGTGCTGGTAAATGCCTAGCCTAACCTCGGCGAAGTAGTGACGAGGCTAGGACCAGACTACCAAACAAACCTGTGCAATTCAACTATATACAACGGAAAAGAGGTACAGAATTAAACAGTCAAGTATGGGAGGGGTAGCATGCTGCGGGGGAGATATCAATTCAGAATAGAAAGACAACAGGTAAATGGAAGAAACAATATATCTCGGATATCAACAGAGAACCAGAAAACAATAAGTGCACGGCATCACCCTTCGTGCTTTTACTCTCGTGCTCACCAAAGCAATCAAGTAACGAAAATGTGCACGGCATCACCCTTCGTGCTTTTACTCTCGTTCTCACCATATAATCAATATAATCGGCACGGAATAGTACATCGTGCGGCAGGCATCACCCTTCGTGCTTTACACTCTTTCCTCACAAAACCTGCAATTTTCCAAGTCTAAAATCCACTCCGTGGCCTATCCAAAACTCACCAGAGCCCTCGGGGCTCCAAACCAAACATGCACACCAACCTAAAAACATCATACGGACTCGCTCGTGCATTCAAATCACTAAAATAACATCAACAATTTTGAATTTAGCATCAAAATCATGAAATTTCCTTAAAAACTTCAAATTTACAATTTTCTCAAAAACGATCCGTTTCACGTCGTTTCAAGTCCGTTTCTTACCAAATCTCACAGACTTATCTTAAATCACATATGCGCTGGAACTAAAATACGGGCCCGATACCATCAAGTCTAAATCACAATTCATTTCCAAATCTCATAAAAAAAATTCAGAAAACAATTTTCTTTAAAAATTCATTTCTCAGGCTTGGGACCTCGGAATTCGATTCCGAGCATACGCCCAAGTCCCATATTTTCCTACGGACCCTCCGAGACCGTCAAATCACGGAACCGGGTCCATTTACCCAAAATGTTGACCGAAGTCAACTTAATTCATTTTAAAAGCCAAATTTTATCATTTTTCACAAATTTTCACATATAGACTTTCCGGCTACGCGCCCGGACTGCGCACGCAAATCGAGGTGATGCTGAAAGAGGTTTTTAAGGCCTCGAAACGCAGAATGCTAGGGGTAAACATTTCACGTGAATACCAACAAGGGTTGTGGTGGAGTGGTAAGTACTCCTTTATCCTTAACCAGAGGTCTCGGGTTCAAGCCCCTGGGTAAGGAGTCGCCTTTGTTAGGGAGCGCTTTACCCCCAATGTGGGACTTCCCGGCGCGAATTCGGATTTAGTCGGGCCCCAATGTGGGTACCGGACGCCGGGTGGGAAACCAAAAAAAATATTTCACGTGAATTGAATGGTCAATTTCAGCATTGACTTAAACAAAGGAAAATTAATTAATTTAATTTAAATTAAGAGAAATCATTTGACTATTTTAGCTATGCTTGTTAGGATAATCAATGACAGCTTGAAACAGAATACTAACTAAAGTTTATCCATTCTTAATTTGCTTATGCTTGCAGTTAATTACGTGTCGTTTTTGCAAACTTCGATTAAACGTAAGTTATTAGTTTTGTCTCCATTGGAAGTATAATTTGGATTAATATTGTATAATACGTACTGATAGACAGTGGCGGAGCCAGAATTTTCATTAAGGGTATATAAAAGAAAACATACCGAAAAATTAAGGAAAGTCAATACACAGTATATGTGCATATAAATATTTTTTTACCTACTTAAACAGTATATTTTTTCCGCGAAGGGGTGTCATTTGACACCCCTTTCTGTAAGGAGGCTCCGCCATTGCTGATAGACGTTAATGTGGCGGCATAATGTTGATTAAAAGGTGATTAGGTCAAGCTAATTAGAATACGTGGCAGAAATCCAAGGGCAGGTTGAACCTGATTAAGATGAAATATCTGATATAAAATATTGGAAACTAAAACATAATCCAGAAACTTACTATGTATAGCTAAGAAGTTGAAGATTAAAGAGGAAACTGAAGTTGGTGAAGAAAAATGCCCAAGATTCCATCGACCAATTTTCGTTCACACTATTGACATCTTTTATTTCCTGATTATTTTTATTCCCTTCTTGTTGACAACTAGATTCTAGCTCTTTCTTCTTAATACAACCATTCGTTAACTCAATCTATATTTTCATTAAATAAAATAAATATACGTGTGCACACGTATATATGTACATATAACTTGTCCATAGTCATGAAATAACCAAGGGTGGGGTAAAGATAAAGAACTATAAATTGAGGGTTTGAATCCGTCTCTCCATTTTTACTAATTGAAATACTTTGTATTTTATTCGTCACGTCCAAGATTACGTATTAGACACTGAATAATCCACATCACTTCTGTTTTTACTGGAAGGAGAGGATAAGGATCTTCAGTGGATCCCCTTGTTTGAAACTCATTGGACAGGGCAGTGTAAGATAAATCACACAAAAATAATCGACTTTTCGGACGCTCCAAATAAGATATGATCAGGTGCTCGGAAATGGTCAAAGTGGAAAAAGAATAAATCTTTTTAAGAAATAAAATTTTTGATCAAAATACGAAT